GCAGACGCCCGGAAAAGGCCCAGCTGGGACATCTGACCCCGGAGCATCTCCGCACGCACGACTTCTCTCACGACGGTACGGTACACCGCGCACCGTCCGCAACACAAGAGACACACGACACATCGGCATCGGGTCATTAGGCGGTTCAATATCGCTTAGATTCGCCAGCAACCATTGCTTCGCGTTTACAACGCTTCCCAGACCCCAATTGAGGCCGTGATATTCACGTCAGGTGTTGTCGTGACATTGGGCCAACCTACTCACGACACGGGATTTGGAGTCGGAACCGCGGCCAGCGAGCCTTGTCGCGCTTCTCCTCTTTCTCCTCTTTGACATCTCCTAAGTGCTTTTGACTACCGAAGAAGCTCCCATTTCCCCGCCTCCTTCTCTCTCGCAGCTTCGCGCCTCTCTCGCTTGTACCTGGCCTGCCCACCCTGGTTATCGCACGCCAGTTACCGGCTACTCATTGTTGTCTATTCTCCGCCTCCCGTTTCTTCTCCCATTTGCCTTTTTTACTTACATCATCCTCCTCCTCCTCACGCGGCGTCTACACGCCCGCATTTACCCAATCTCGACGAGTGACTTGGACGACCGACAGCACACGCCAAGACGTCGACGGACCACTGCTCCCACCAGCAACCACTTGGCCCGAGGACGAACCGACGTTCTCTCGGCCGCTTTCAAACCCCCAAAGGACCCCCCCGCAGAGGCCACGAACCTCCTGTTGTGTTTGTGTCATCCTTGGTCATACCCTCCGGTTGCTGGGTTCTTCCCCGCCCGCAGCTTTGCTCTGCCCCGGCTTAGGGTGGTGGCTTCTTCGCATACCCGTCCAGCCACTTGCCTCTCCTCATCGTCTCCGTGTCTTTTTCGGCCCCTAACCTTGTCTGAGCTCTACGCTGTTGTACGTCGAGCTGGGGAGGACCGAGGGGACGGTCTACTGAACTTTGGAGAGAGGGGTTCAGTGAGCAGTGAGTGGTACGCTAGAGATATACGACTCTAAGACGAGGAAGGACAGGCTGTAGCCTTCAGGAAGCTGCTCTTCGACCCTCAGGGCTGAATATAACAAAGACGAGGATGATTAGTACCCCTAAATTCATCCATCCGCTCACACAACCCACCCCACAAAACACCAACTGTGCTTCTTTCTAATCGACCTTGCTGTTCTCCCCTTTCCCCTTTCCCCTTCCCCCACTCCACTGCCTGCGCGACTTTCTCCTACATTACCCATCAGAATACCCCAATCCCGCCAGGCAAGCCTCCAAAGCGCCATGCTGCCCCTTCAGTCAATCGAGGCGCCGGCCCCATCCAGTATTGCCGACGAGAACGGGGAGTCCCGGCAGCAGAAGCCCAAGACCCTGCCCTGCAAGTATTGCAGCAAACGCTTCAGGTCAGTATAACTTGAAGACGCTCCGTCCACCTCCTCACCGCATATTGGCTTACATTGCTCTCTCATATTAGGCGTGTGGAGCATGTTCAAAGACACGAGAGAACACATACCAAGGAAAAGCCGTTTTCTTGCGGTTGGGAACGATGTGGGAAGACATTTGGGCGTCGGTAAGTTAGTTTAGTTAGTTGCGTTCCTTAACCCCAACGCCAGCGTAATTTACTGTTTGCACCGTCTTCCGCGCTTTGCGTGCTTGCTTCCACCACTCACCGTTATCCCCATCCCCTCATTTGCTACTACATACCGCCTACCAACCCAGCCCAACTCCTCCTGCCCTCCCTACCGCCTGCCAACTGGAGCAACGCCGTCCTCGTTCGGGTCGGGTCCTATCTCTTGGTGCTTCACCATCCACTCTCAACACCTCACTTGTACACTGTCTCCAAGAGGAATGCTTACATGGACATCAGCGACCTGCTTGTCCGCCACGAGAAGCTTGTCCATCTCAATGAAGGCAGCAACAAGGATGGCGCCAGACCACGCAAGCCCTCCTCTGGAGGTGCTGCTGCCGGGCCCTCCGACAGCCACGTCGATACCGAGATGCTCGGGATGCAGCAACGTCCGCCTCAACAGCACTATCCGCCGGACTCAATGCAGTCGTCGGTAGTCTCGTCGATGCCTCCAGATCCACGCCTCGCGGCCAGAGCACCCGCCTGCAACTTAGACCTTCTCTCGGATGCTGCCACCCACTTGGCCTCGGGCGGTGAAGTTGGTAATATGCAATCAAGCATGATGCAAGGATTGGCCCAGGCGCCATCAGACCTAACACCAGTGAAGGGATACCACGAGAGTATGTCATATGGAGATCGAGGTCGGGAGCAGGATCCAGGTGTAATGGGCGGCGGGTATGCTCCACAGCCTCCTCCGCCAACTTTTGACGATTACAACTTCTTCTTGGACGATTATGGGTCGTCTCACTTTTTACCACCATCGTTGGAGGCAGAGCAAGCGTTTGGCATGTGGTCTCGACCAGGAGGGGATCTAGGGACGCGCGGTCCCTCGAAGCCTTCTTCCACATTTCCATCGAGGCTACCATCGTTGCAGCCAGACCCGCGGGATGCTTCCGAAGGCGGATCTATGATGCATGGGGATGCCATGAAGGCGCCAAATTGGAGGATATCCGCCATGGATCACACGGTCATAAAAAACCGGCTCGACGAGTTTTCGTCGGTTCTCCCCAACGACTTCGTCTTCCCATCACGGCACACCCTGACGCGGTTTCTGGAGGGCTACATAAGTGGATTCCACGAGCATCTCCCGTTTCTTCACCTACCCACTTTGGTGCCATCCGAGATGTCACCCGAACTGCTCTTGGCGATCCTTGCCGTCGGCGCTCAATATCGGTTTGAAACCAACCGGGGACATGCCTTGTGGTATGCAGCGAAAGCGGTGGCTTTGGAACAGATTCGTCGTAGACACAGCTCTGAAGTCCATGGCCTTCTTCCCACCCCTGCGGCCTATAGTCCGCACTCTACCCGACCGTCTCCGAGTTCTGGGTTCCGACACTCCTTTCCTTCGGTCCACCAAGACCGCCCGATGACGCAGGACACTCATCGGGAGCCGTAGTAAGCCATTAGCTCTTCTGACCATATACCTTCAGATAACTGACGTTAACAGTTCCCCGAATACACCGCAATCGCGACTGGAAACGATACAAGCCCTTCTCCTTCTCTTCGCCATCGGACTGTGGGGAGCTAAACCTATTCTCTTCGACGCCTTGACTCTGCAAAGCTTGCTCGCGCTTTTAGTACGCGAGGATGGCCTGATTGCAGAACCGAATCAGGCTTCCGACTGGGACACTTGGATCCGCCTCGAGTCGGGGACCCGGACGAAGCTAATCGCTTACTGCTTCTTCAATCTTTGTAGTATTGCTTACAACACAACGCCTTCTCTTTTAACATCAGAAGTACATCTGTACTTGCCCAGCCCATCTCGTGTGTGGAGGGCAGAGAGCGCGTGGCAGTGGCAAGAAGCACGTCAGTCCTATCAACATATCGAAATACCGCTCCAGGAAGCCTTCTCGCGACTCCTCAGCCGAACTTCGCAAGCGCCACTTTCTCCGGTGACATCACTCGGCAACTATGTTCTCATACACGCGCTCGTCCAGCACATATTCTTGCTAAAGCAGACGTCTTTTGCGAGCCTCTCTACATTTGATGTCCACAGGGGCCTGAAGATGGAGGATGTTGAAGAAGTCAGCCACGCCCTTCGTTTCTGGGGCATGGGATTCGAGCAGCACCGCCAGCTTCGTGCGAGTGAAAACGGGTCTCAGGCAAACGCGGGTGATAGTTTCGCTGGAGATCCTGTCGCATTCAACTCAACGGCACTGCATAGACTTGCGTATATCAGGCTACACACGGACCTCAGCCATAGCCGCAGTCTCGAGACCCGCGATCATGTGCTGGTCGCATCGGCATTTAGTGATGCTCCGTTGCTTGTCCGTAGTCCGCGTCTTTGCCGTGCCGTGATGCAGGCCATTCACGCACTGTCGATACTGGTCAAGATGGGTGTTAACTACGTCGCGAGGACGAAATCATCGGAGTGGAGCATGCAACATTCCCGTAAGTTCTGTCAAAAATCCCCCTTCCTGCTTCCTTTGCGTACAGACGGACGCTCTGATTGGTCTAACATGTGTGAAACTCAAGTTTGCAACCTCGAATGCGCCGTGCTCCTTTCAAAGTGGCTATTGACGTTGGCGTCAATCGGGCCAGCCGACCCTCCGCCATCACAGGAGGAGAAGAGCCTCCTGGATACTGTCCGCCGAATGTTGGACGAGACCGAGTTCGCCGTACCGATCGACCCATCGCTGTCAGGTCCGTCCGGTGGCCACAGCCACCACCGATCAGTCGACATATCGGCTTCCGACGGCACGAAACTGAGACAGCTAGCGTCTGCTGTCATCAAATTGTGGGCAGAGACATTCAAGGGAACGCATGTTTTTGAGATTGTCAACATCATGGCCGTAGGGCTGGAAGGCTATGCCGATCTGATAGAAAAGCCAAGAGACAGGACACCGCTGGGAAGGATGGGGCCGAACCAGGGACTTGGCTGAGGATTTTTGGGACAGGGGGCATCTCTCAAGTTCCTCTCCCTGAAGAACTCTTGCTCAGACGAACATCCACCGGCGCCGGTTCGGGTTGATACCAGCTACTCGTCAGGGCTAACAACACCAGTCGACCAGGACTGAGCTTTCCTGGGTTGAGGGCCAGGCCATGAAAGAATCGGGGAAGAACTCGGGCACTCTGAGCATAAGTTTCATTTTCTTGTGACTGCTGGACTGGTTGGAGAGCAAGTCCAGATTCAAGATTCACTCCTGGTTAGCTGGCAAACATCATGGTATATCCACTGGCACCAGAAGATGGATATGGTAGCCCAGATGATTCAGACTTGTCTGAACGGCACGATCGAGCCCAGTTATCGAAGCTGGCCATGTGGTGGACAACGGAAGTTCCAGTACTCCAACCGCCCTCTCAGACACCGGAGTGATAAAAAGGGGACGAAAGAGAGCCAAAAGGTTCAGACAACTTCCCATGAGTCGGATCACTATCTGATGATGCGTTGACAAGAGTGGGATTTGAACCCACGCCATTTCGGACTTCGGAATCCAGGATTGCTGTTTGAAGGTTGAATACCTGCATTTGACCACTCGGTCATCTTCCCGTATTGATGGTGAATGTGGTGTGGGTTGGGTTGTCTGGATTCTGTGCAGGTTGGGTGGAGGTGGATGTTGAGTCAGTTGGGTTGTCTGGCTCGTTTCTATCTATATATTTGCTTTCCTTTTTTCCAATTTGGGGTGGGAAATATCCTTGACTAGTCCGACAGACGAGTCAAGTAAGTAGCGATACGAACTTAGCCATATGGAGTTTTGGTTCGATGAATACCTATTCACCACTATATCGTAACTGCTCGCCTTGCTATGGTCGAACTATGCTTCTCGTCGTCGTGATTCCTTGAAGAAATGCAATGGCCCGCACTAATAATGAAACTTTGAATGGCGTTCTCGGCCTTGGTATATGCAGTAATGACAACGACTGAATAGGTGGAAAAGGGAAACCGCGAACCGTTAACAACAAAAGATGATAAAGGTCTCGGAGTGAATCATGAAGAATGTATCGTAAATACATAGCCTGGAATACTCCTGATATCAAAGCAAAAGCAAAACGACCCACAACGACCGTGATCAATAACAATAAAGCGAAACGAGTTGGATGCCGTAATTACAGGAAAGTTTGCCACCCCATTCATTGTCCTGGTATTCGGTTCACCAACCCAGCCTTCATTTCGACTTCCATCAATCCTTCCATCCGGATTTCCGTACAGCACCACACTTGACAAAGACAACAAAAGCAAAATAAAATGATCATTACACCAAGCCTACCCACTACCCACCGACCATTACATCTCATCATACAAGACTAGTACGCCACAGTCCTATAATAATCCCCCGGCGCGCTCGGGGCCCCATCATCAGGCTCACCGTACCCAGAGGGCGCGGACGGCGCATGACTGCTTGCTCCGGGCGGCACATACGCCTTATATTGTGGCCCTCCTCCAGCAGCAGCAGACCCACTAGTCCCCGGACTACTCGCTCCTCCCAACCGACTAGGCAGCGTCTGTCGCGCATCGTAAGCAGGTCCGCTCGGGTGCAGCGGCGGCGGGGACAACGGCTGCGCGGGTCGTCCTCCGTTCGGCGGAAGCGGTGCCTGCCCCAGCGGAGCGGGTGGCACCGGGCCGTCGTTTGCACCGTCACTACCGTACCCGGTGCCACCATATTGAGGCTGCTGCTGGTGAGGAGCAGAAGTCTGGTAGGTAGTGTAACCCCCGCCGTAGGACGATTGTCTGTGGTCTGCCGGAGCGGATAGAGCAGCTGGGGCGGAAGGAGGAGCCATAGACGGGATGCTGGGAACACGGCCGGGCCCACCGGGACTCGCGTACGGATCGTCGTTGGAGTATACGGAGGAGCTGTAAGTTGCGGCTGAGTTGTTCTTGTGGGGTGCGATAGGCGAGTCGTACACCGAGGTGGAGAGCTCTTGCGGAGCGCCGCCGTAGGTGCTCTGGGGCCGTGCGCCGACATGTGACCCTGGGGCTTGGTAAGGGGTGTACTGGTTTGCCGGGGGAGGCGGGGAGTTCGTCTGGATCGGAGCTGGCTGCTTTCCGCCAGAGGGAACACGTTGTTCCTGTGGTCTCGGGGCATACTGGTGCTGCTGCTGTGGCGGCCCCGATTGTTGATGCTGGGGAGGTTGCTGCTGTTGTGGTTGTGGGGGCTGCTGGTTAGGCTGGGGCGGAACTTCGGCACCGGCGAGGAAGAAAGGAGCAGCAGGAGCAGGGGTGCCAGATTGACCAGGCCGTTGGTAATTGGGTGAGGGAGACGATGGTGGATATTGCGAAGGTTCTATTTACATCAGCCATGTACATCTATAAACCTCCTTAAGCCCCGAACTCGACTATATGCATACCTTGGGCAGGTGCTGGCGTGTAGAATCTCTGTGGGTCTTGCTGTTGAGGGCCCGGAGGTGCGCCGTAGCCAGGACCAGGGGGTGCATAGCTCTGAGGGATCTGGGGCCTCATGGCGTACTGGTGATATGAAGGACCGGGAGGATGTGACATTGAGGACTCCAGCAGAGCCTCGTAGTCTCTCCTCGCCTTGATGAACTTCTCGTTAAGCTGCGTGAAGTCGTCTGTGTGATGTCAGCATGCCTGGAACTCGTTAAACTCAGAATTTCTTACTTTACCTTTCTTCTGCGAGTACTTCTCGATCAACTTGATGAGCTTCGGTCGGATAGCCAATGTTTGGTGGTATAGTTTCTAGAAACAACAGGCGTCAGTCAAATATCCAGCATGAACCATGGGGAAAATGAAGCATACCGAGATCTCCTCGTTATCCTCCTCTCTTGGCCCCGTGTTGCTGGCGCTCAGGAGCGTCAGCAACTTCTCAACGTTCTTGATTTCAGCAAACACCTCGGCCTCCATCTGTGCCTCACGCTGCAGCTCGTCGGGCGTTGGGTCGGTCAGCTTCTCGACATAGTTGAGCGGGAAAATACCCGTCTTCCCCTTGAGCGATCCCCGCCACCAATCCTTGTAGACGCTCTCCAGCACCGCAATGACATCGCCCTTCTTGAATTCCAGCTCGCCAGGCTCCGAAGGCACAAAGTCAAACAGCGCTCTGACACGAGACACGGTAGCAGCAGTGGTTCCCGACGGCATCGGTTGCAACGGCGCCGCCTGCCCGGCTGCTCCACCAGCTCCGGCACCACTTGCTCCAGCAGCAGCCGACGATCCTGAGGCCGCAGAAGGCTGCTTCTTACGCTCTTCCTCCTGCAGACTAAGCTTGAGCGCCATCTGAAGCTCCTCTTCCTCCTTCTGCCGGTCCAGCTGGGTCAGGCTGTTCTTCTGGGGTGCGCTCGGGGGGTGTAGGGTTGGGTTGGTCTGCTTGAGCCGGTAGTAGGCGTCGTACATGACGCCAAGCTCGGGGTCGGACTTGAACATGTCGGACCATTCCTTCATGCGCTCGAGAATCTTGGCCTTGACCTGGTTATGGGTGTTGCGGTCGTTGGCGAGCTTGAGGAGGGCGTCGGTGAAGGCGCGGCTCGAGAGCTCGCGGTGCATGGGCTTGCCGCAGTTTTGTGACAGGGCGTTGGCGACCTGTAGAATCCAAACCCGGACCAGTCAGTCAAGTCGACTACCTCGGTAAAAGCTGTGGTGCTTACCTCGAGTGTGTACAGCTGGACGTTTGCGTTGCGATGTGCCAAGCGCTTGATCATGCTCTGGACAGCCTCCTTGGAGCCGTTGGCGTCCCTCTCAACACGGTCGCACACCTCCATAATGGCGCCCCAGTCCTCCGATGTGAGGTTCTCATCGGTAGCCTTGTCTGGTGGTGGTCGTTAGCGTGTGCAACTCCTCTCGCGCCGCGGCGGGAATAAACATACTGATAGCCTCATCGTACGGCCCCACGGCCGCCGCTCGAAACATGGTTGCTCCTGTGTTATTAACTGATCCTCCTCTAGTAATTCTCGTCATGCGGTTGAATTCGGCAGCACTCGATCGCTCGAGTCGAGTCCGTCAGATGCTCGCAGCGACAGCAGCTACGAACGAAGATGACGCAAGACGAGTAGTAATCTCTCCACTATCCGCTTGGCTGACGGACTGATCAGTTCGCGATACCGATCTCGAAATCGGCAAAGAGCGTAACCGGGTTCGAAATCAATCGTAGTTAATTTTTTGAAAGGGCGTTGTTTCCTTTCGTCGTGTGGTGACTGACTGGGTTCTGGGTTGTGGATGGGTGCGGGAAGGTTGGAGGTGAAGCGGGCAACTAGTGTAAGGTTCAGTGCTGCTCCTGTTGGCAGCCTATGACGGGGGACTCACAAGAGCTGCGCCCACTCCAGCCTCGCCTCACACTCGTGAATTACGGCAATGCTATTAGTGTTCTGTCTTTGCCCCACATTAAGCTAACCCTGCACGCCTGGACATCACCAGCAAAAAGGAAACTTGAATCCTTATTACCGGTACGTACTACTCTGCGTACGTAACCCGGGCCGCCGTTCATTGCGTATGAGCTTGCGCAGCCACACCCGCCGGGCCTGACTAACCTATATGGTAATCCGTATATGATTCCAATACACCCCATACGGAGGTTTCTTATTTCGCCTTATTGAGAATTATAGCTGGAAGCTATGACCAGATCGGGATATTACTGCATGTAGCAGCTCACTAGAGGTCACGAGCGAGAACTCATCCAACCTGTGAATCTTGCCTGCTTACCTTGTCGCTTATCATTCGTCTGGACGATACAATATACTTGGGGGTCCACTTCATAATAGTATTAAAGCCTGCAAAAGGGCCCTCACTTATTCATACAAACATTTCATTTCATCACCCATGGACCATCCATAACCCTAACCGAAGCTACATAAGCTCTGTATATGCAATCTAAATCCCCTACTCCCTCATCGTGGATGATGCCCCCTTGGTAAATCAATTAGTATCCTCGATCAAAATGATCCATATGGTAGCCCCGGTAGGTAGGCACCTTAGGTAGGTAAATTCAGTCCCCACTGACCCTGGTACTTAAACATGTACGGAACACGTCCTTTAGAAACCCACCATACACCCTACTCCTACTCTAGATACACCACCTAGTAACAGTTATCCGGTATACCGTCTCCTTGCCAAGATAAGAGTGACCGCAGAGTGACTCCAAGAATTAATCAAGGCCATCCCCTCTTCGAGGTCCCCCTCGGTTCAAACCCACTCCCATTCCCACTTCCACTTGCACCACCACCACTGCTCCCTCCTGCTCCTGCTCCAGCTCCTCTATTCCGTTCCACAATCCCACGCCCTAGCCCACCAACCTCTTCCAGGCTCCGCCGCGAGGGTCTCTCCAGCTCAGACATGGCAAACAGCAACGGCTCGTCGTCCGCCCCGTCTTCCGCAGCTTGTTGCCCACCACCACCACCACCACCACCACCACCAGCGCCATGTCCACCAGCACCAATCCCTCTCCCAAGCAACAAATTGCCCCCATACCTCTGCCCCGAGAACGATCCCCTATTGTTGCTCGAAGATGGTTGCGGCCGAGACGCATTTCCACTACTGTTCCCTCGAGCCGTCAGACTCTGATACCGCGACCGAGTGTTGCCGTATCCCCTCGTGGCCCTGTCACT